CTCTCTCTCTCTCTCTCTCTCTCACACACACACACACACACACACACACACACACACACCTACCTCAAAGAAAAGAGCATCCATGCCCTGCAGCTTGCAGAGGGATGAATGGGGGAGCTGGGAACCTTCTGTAAGTTCTAAGGTGATTTGGGCTAGGGAGCACCTTGCCGAGGAGAATTTGGAGTGTAACCTAGTGCCTAAAGCCTTCAGGTCCTGCCACTCGGTGGGCACAGGTCCTGCCACTCGGTGGGCATTGCAGCTCTGAGTCACTCAAGAGAATGCTCACAATGAGAGGGCCAGATCCCAGCCTAAGCCAAGTGTTGGCTTTTGTTGCTTTTTCCTTTTTGCTTTTTTCTACAAAAAAAAAAGATTGTTTTTATTTTGTGTGTATGAGTATATTACTTGTATGTATGTAAGTGCACCTGTGTCGTGCAATACCCACAGAGGTCAGAAAAGAGCATTGAATTCCCCTGGAATTGGAGTTACAGATAGTTGTTAGCCTTCATGTGGGTGCTGGGACTCAAATCCGGGTCCTCTGCAAGAGCAGCCAGTGCTCTTAACTGCTGAGCCATCTCTCCAGTGCCCCCTTTTGCTTTTTTGAGGCAGGTTCTTACACTATAGTCCAGGGTGTTTTCAAACTGGCCCCTCAACTGTTAGTCCGTGAGGTAACAGAGTCTATCTCCAACTTGAGGCTGCATTCTGGGTCCTGGAGTGCTTACACCCAACATCTTACAATTGGCAACTTTTCCAAGATGGACACACTCCCACAAGAAGTAGCATCCATTTCCAAGACAGAACTACCAAATGATTCTTAAAAGAAAAATTCTCTTCCCCCAAAGAAACAGACTGCAGAACTGCACCTCTGTGTACTAGATAGCTGCAGTACCTGCCACATGACCAGTCCAGCACAATAGGGCTCCTGGAGACGCTGATCTCTGTTTCACATTTACCAAACTACACTTCCCATTGAATGGTCTTCTTGGAACTCCTAGGACACTCCTCTGAAAGGGTATCAAGTTGCTACTTCTTTATAAGACAGAAAATTATAAGCAGCTTTAAAATGACTTTTTCCAGCTCTAAGGAACGCCTTAAACCTCCCTCTAGGTTCATTTCCTCTGGGTTATGTGGTTCCAGGCTCCACTCATTCACCGTGCCCCAGCCACCTGTCAATGACTTTATCTTCTTGTCCAGGAATCTCTAACTTATCCCTGGCTACAGATCCCTTTGATGCAATGAGTGAAGCCTAACTGGCAGAGGTCTCATCCCGAATAGGAGAGGTTGGAAACGAAGTTGAGTGACCACAGAAAAGATTTAGGAGAATCTGTATCCCATGGTTGTACCTTTGTTGTTCATGGGTGGTGTGGGGGGGTCCAATCTATCTTGAAAGTGGAGTCCTTTGAGAAACCCTATGAAAGCTATGTACTCCCCCACCAAAATGCTGGAAAGGTTACTGAGTATAAATCTGGTAAAGAAGCTTGGGGCTGGGAGGAGGTGGGCAAACACTTTCTAAAGCCCATTCAGAGGCACCATGGAGTCCACAGCCCCCATGTGATACCCGATTCTTGATACCGTTCTGAAGCTGGATTGATTCCTCTGAAAGTACTCAGGCTCCAATATCAGGATCTTGTCAATTATTTACAATTCTCTCCACACTTCATCTTTTTCTATTGCAAATCTCCCTTTCCTCTGTATTTATAGTGACCTAAATACAATCACATCATAAGAAAACTGATGTTGTGATTACCGAGAATGGGGTGTGGGTATCTGCTTTACTTCTCTAAAAGAGCTTTTGCTGTGGTCACCAGGGACCTCTCATTGCTACACCTGAAGGCCATTTCTTAAGAAACGTGTCTTGACTCTCTTGATCCCGCACTCCCAGGTTTCCTTCTATTATTCTGATTATGTTTGGGTTCCGCTTTCTCTCTCTCTCTCTCTCTGCTTTGAGTGTGTTCTTAGAGCTCTGAAATTGGCTCTTTCCTCTTCCCACTTCTCTCTCTCTCTCTCTTCCTCTCTCCCTCCTTGCCTCCCCTCCCTGAGAAACATTACCTACACTCATGACTTCAGTTCCCACCTCCACGGTGCCAGTGCTCACATCTTATCTCCATCTGAG